GTGATATTATTGCCGTCTGAATATTTCGGATAGACTGATGCAGAGGTCAGTGGAGGCCTGCAATCTGCGATCTAGAAGCTACAGAATTGGCGGAGAGGTAACTTCGAAGACCGATAGATGAAAGGAATTGTTATTATGTGAGTAACCGAGAGGATACAAGAAAGGAGAAATGTAAAGCTATTACAGAATGAATATCAAAAAGGCTGCCTTATTTCATAGCCTAGATTCCTATTTATAGTCATATAAGTCGGCTGTCAAGCTAATGCTTAACCTGCTGACCTCGGCTGACATCACTAGATTCCTACTAACAAATTGGCTAACAAACCCAGCTGTATGGCCATAACTAACGTGTGCATGGCCTGCATGGCCATAACTAACTTTAGCTAACAAACTTCAGCTGCATTTCCTTTGCCATATCCTGCGCAAAATATGGAATAACCAAACACATGCATCAATACCCTCCCCTCGCAGAGTCCTTGTCCTCAAGGACTGAAGTTGGGAAATTGCAGCTTTAAGTCCTGCAGGTAATCCCACGTAGCATCCTCTGGGAAGCTGTTACTCCACTGGACTAATACCTGAGTAGCTGCCACCCTACCACGCTTGACCAAACGCCTGTCTAATATGGCAATGGGTTCCAACAATAGCTGACCCTGGCGTGAGACTCCAGCTGGAATGTGAGTATGAGTGACCCCTGTGCCCATTTTTTTCTTGAGCACCGAAACATGGAAGGTGTTGTGAATGTGAACATGCGAAGGAAGTGCCAACTTGTAAGCCACTGCACCCACCCTTGCCAGTACTTGAAATGGGCCAAAGTAGCGAGGAGATAATTTTTGACAGTGATGAGTCCTTAACGAATGTTGCCGATATGGTTGAAGCTTGACATAGACCCAGTCACCAACGCTGAACTCCCTTTTTGATCTATGTTTATCTGCCAACTGCTTCATCCGGTGCTGCGCCTTAGTCAAATTATGTCGCAGGGAGTGGATGACTTTCTCCCTTGCATGTAAGCTTCTATCCACAGATTCGACCGTTGTAGCTTCCGGTAAGTAAGGAATATGAATAGAGGGAGGCTGTCCATAGACTATTTCATAGAGAGTAAATTTAGCAGAAGAGTGGTGATTCGTGTTATACCAATATTCTGCTAATGGTAGCCACAAACTCCACTCCTTAGGGTGATCACTAGCCATACACCTCAGGTAATTCTCTAAGCACCTGTTAACCACCTCCGTTTGTCCATCACTCTGAGGATGGTAAGCAGTGGACATATTCAACTGAACATGCTGTAACCTGAATAGCTCCTGCCAAAATGAACTCAAGAAAGTAGGATCCCTATCACTGACGATTGTTTGAGGTAACCCATGGAGCCTGTAAATTTGATCCATGAACAACTGAGCGATGGAGATGGCTGTGTAGGGGTGAGCTACTGCTATAAAGTGGGCGTACTTGCTGAGGCGATCAACCACCACTAAGATCACTTTCTTTCCATGAGAGGGTGGTAATCCTTCAATAAAATCCATGGAGATGTATGTCCAGATCCTGTGGGGTATAGGCAAAGGTTGTAGGAGTCCAGGGTAGGGTGCATTATCTGATTTATGCCTTTGGCAAATGTCACAGGAGGCTACGTACTGAGCCACATCTCTAAACATGTGCTGCCAATATACAACCTGTTTGAGCCTCCTGTAGGTCACATCCACTCCTGAGTGTCCCCCTTGCGAGCTAGAATGCCACAAGGAAATCAACCTGTCCCTCAAGGGTTGATCCTTGCCAACCACCAACTTACCTCTTCGTTTTAATACCCCTTGTTGCCAAGAGTAAGTGTTGGAGTACTGGTTATTGCGTGTCAATTTTTGGATTAGCTCCTGGATGTGTATGTCCTGCTGCCAACTTTGTTGAATATCCCTGAGTAATGAAGATGTGACTGTGACTAGAGTGTAGTTTGAACCCCCCTCCAGTGGCCGTCGGGACAAGGCATCTGCTACAATACTATCACATCCCTTTTTGTATTGCACCTCATAATCAAACCCCATTAACTTGGCTATCCACTTCTGTTGTAAAGGTGTGTGTACCCTCTGCTCAATTATATACTTCAGGCTCTGATGATCAGTTTTAATAGTAAAATGCCTTCCCACCAGATAAGCTCTCCATCTCAACACTGCAGTCACTATAGCCAACATTTCCCTTTCGTATACAGACAGAGCTTGATGTTTAGGACCCAATGCCTTGCTGAAAAAGGCCAGAGGTCGCTTATGCTGCATCAGTACTGCCCCAATTCCATTCCCAGATGCATCAGTTTCTACAACGAACTCCTGAGTAAAATCTGGTAAAGCCAAAACAGGTGGACTGCTCATGGCTTCCTGTAAGTTCTTGAAGGCCTGACTAGCTGCATCATGCCATTGGAACTGGTTTTTCTTAAGTAATTCTGTCAATGGTTTGGCAATTTTCCCATAATCCTATATGAACCTCCTGTAGTAGCCAGTGAGCCCCAAAAACCCCCTTAGCTCCTTGACTGTCCGAGGAAGAGGCCAACTCACGATTGCCGAAATCTTCTGAGGGTCTGCTTGAACTCCCTCAATATTGATGACATGGCCTAGATAATCAATTTGTTGCTGTGCAAAGGTACATTTGCTTCTTTTTGCCTTCAAGGTATGCTGCCTTAATAATTCGAACACCATCCTAAGATGTTGTAGATGTTCCTCCCAATCACAGCTGTATATCAAAATATCATCGAAGAAAACCAGAATAAATTTCCTTAAGAATGGCTTGAAAATGTCATTCATCAAACCTTGAAAAGTTGAAGGCGCATTAGTCAGCCCAAAGGGCATAACCAAAAATTCATAGTGGCCGTCATGAGTCCTGAAAGCTGTCTTTTCCACATCCTCTGCCTTCATTCTGACCTGGTGATACCCAGATCTCAGATCCAGTTTGGTGAAGAACCTTGCTCCAAATAGCTCATCCAGTAGTTCCTCTATCAAAGGTATAGGGAATTTATTCTTTATAGTGGCATTGTTCAACTGCCTGTAATCAACACACATTCTCCAGGACCCATCCTTTTTCTTTACCAACACTACTGGAGAAGAAAAAGTACTAGAACTAGACCTGATGATGCCACAAGCCAGCATTTCAGCCACCAACCTTTCAATCTCACCCTTTTGGAAGGCCGAATATCTATAAGGTCGCACGTTGATGGGTTCCGTCCCCTCCTTCAGAACAATTTTATGGTCATGGAGCCTTTTTGGTGGCAACCCCTTAGGTTCCTGAAACAAATCCTCATAATCATTCAGTAAGTATTCAAGTTCTACTGGATTGCTCACCTGCTGATCCTCAGTGTCCGCAGTAATGGTACAGAGAGGTAAGGTGTCTGCTGTGGGGTCCTGCACTACTCTGATTAGGCATAGTTGCGCCTCAGCGATTTGCTCAGGTTTTTGAAGTATTTTCTGCATTTTTTTCTGCTTAACCAGTTGCAGCCCTTGTCGCTTCATTCCCCTTAAAACTACCTTAAACTCCATCCTAAGCTCCCCAAAGTTCCATTTCACATCCCCAAGGGTAGTTAACCATTGTATGCCAAGAACGAGCTCACACCCACCCACTGGTAATATGAGTAGGTCAGCCTTGAATTCCTGTCCGTGCATTTTCCAAATGAAGTCCTTACAAAGGTCCTGCGTGGTCAACTTATTTCCATCTGCCACCTCTATCACTAGGGGATCAACCCTGTGTGTAGTTAAACCCAACTTCTGTACAACTTTAGGGTGAACGAAATTATGGGAGCTACCACAATCTATGAAAATGTTCACAGATTGTCGTCCCACATGACCCGTGACCCTCATAGTTTTAAAATTAGGAACACTCATGGTAGTCATGGCATTAAGAGAAATATGTGCCAGTTGACCTTCATCCAGTGCGTCTTCTTCTTCACTTCATGACCCTTTCTCCTCCTCCTCTGGCATGTCATCCCAAACCTCCAACCTGTGGAATTGTTTATTACCACATCGGTGCCCAGCTGTGAATCTTTCGTCACACCAAAAACACAACCCCCTAGCTCTTTTCTCATCCATTTCTACTCTACTCAACCTCCTGAAGGGTCTTTTGGCTATTAACTCTTTCTGCTTCTCATTACTAGGTAGGGCTGGAAAAGTAGGGAGATCCAAGAGTGGCTTAGAATCTATCTTCCATTTGTAACCAGCTGAGTTTGTTTGGGTAGGTGCGAAAGTGCGGTTAGGATCTGGACAACTTGTGTAAGGTTTGGCTAACCCCCTCCCTTTCTGCTGCACAAACACCTTAGCTTCTTCAATTTTGGCCAGGGTTCTGGCATGCTGCACGTTCCTAGACATGAACATTCTTACGGTCAGTTGGATCTCTGGTTTCAACCCACTCACAAAACAACTTGTGGCGTAGTCCTCGGGGAGATCCACCCTATTGAGAAGCTCCTCGAACAGGTCGTGGTACTCCTGTACTGACCCAGATTGCTTCAAGCTCTTAAGCTCTCCCATGGGATCGTCATACAAGGAGTCTCCAAACCTGGAGGATAATTCCCTTACATACTCCTCCCAGGCCGGAATCTCTCGCGTAAGTCTGGATCTCATGAAGATTTGGTGCCACTGAAGAGCCTTCCCCTCCAAATTCATGGCAGCTACTTTGACCTTTACTGAGCTTGGCGTCTCATCCACTTCAAAGAACTGCTCACACTTGTACAACCATCCTCTAAAATCCTCCCCATTGAATTTTGGAAAGTCAATCCGCGACAAGCGAGAGGGAACGTGGTAATTCCCTCTATTGCTGTTTGAAGAATCCGAATTATGAGGGGAGCCGTTTCCTTCGGCCGGACCTTTCTGCGTGTGTAGTTCAACCACCAGGTTTCTTAGAGCTGCCATTTCTTTTTCAAACTGTTCCTGTTGTTCCCTCAGCATGGAGCGAACGTGCTCTTCCATCTTCATGACGTCTTGAGACCTAGTGCCCTCTGCCATTGGTGACTTAGCTGGTTCAACCCAGCTCTGATACCACTGATGCAGAGGTCAGTGGAGGCCTGTAATCTGCGATCTAGAAGCTACAGAATTGGCGGAGAGGTAACTTCGAAGACCGACAGATGAAAGGAATTGTTATTATGTGAGTAACCGAGAGGATACAAGAAAGGAGAAATGTAAAGCTATTACAGAATGAATATCAAAAAGGCTGCCTTATTTCATAGCCTAGATTCCTATTTATAGTCATATAAGTCGGCTGTCAGGCTAATGCTTAACCAGCTGACCTCGGCTGACATCACTAGATTCCTACTAACAAATTGGCTAACAAACCCTGCTGTATGGCCATAACTAACGTGTGCATGGCCTGCATGGCCATAACTAACTTTAGCTAACAAACTTCAGCTGCATTTCCTTTGCCATATCCTGCGCAAAATATGGAATAACCAAACACATGCATCATAGACCTGTGTATTTCCATTATTATGATAGTGGAGATTTTGATTGGACTAGGTCCCATGATTTTTCCCAATTGGGTTTTTCACGTAAAAATCTTGGTGTCCTATGCTTTCTATTTTTCTTGCATTTTATTATCACTGCTAGCATTATTACTTGGTGATTTGATTTGTTCCTATTTTAACTGGTACTTGGAAAAAGAGAAATTTGTCCTGGGCTAACTCTGATATTGTGTGCCTGTACTGGTACTCCTTTCCCAACACATTATAGGATGTATTTAGTGCAGGGTCGGATACTGTTGCAGGTACGATAATCTGGGCAATGGCTTGATGAAGAGCCCTGAAGCAATATTGAAGAAGGCACAAGCAGAGATTAGAGGTGCAGTTGGAAATAAAGATATAGTAAACGAAGATGATATTCAAAAGCTCCCTTGTCTCAAGGCAATTGTCAAGGAGACCTTCAGATTGTATCCTTCAGCTCCACTTTCAGTTCCAAGACAGACACTAGCAAATTGCATTATAAATGGTCACGAAATCCAGTCCAATTCTATAGTTTACACAAATGTCTGGGGGATTGGAAGAGATCCCGAGTATTGGGAAAATCCAAATGAGTTTTTGCCTGAGAGATGCTTGAATAGTAGTGTAGATATGAAAGGGAAAGACTTTCAATTGATACCATTTGGAGCTGGCCGAAGGGGCTGCCCTGGATATTCTCTGGTACTAGCAATGGTGGAAGTTGGACTTGCCAATCTTCTGTACTCTTTTGACTGGGAATTGCCTTTTGGGATCAAGAAAGACGACATTGATACTCAAGTTTTACCAGGTCTTACAATGCCTAAGAAAAATGATCTGCCACTTCCGGCAAAAAATGTGTATGCGTAGCAAATGTCAAGTGCTGGCATCTAAATACTTGGGACCATGTATTCTTTGGTTGTGGAATTTCCTCTTTTTTTTCTTCCCTCCTTGTGTTTAGTTTGTTTTGTGACTTGCTCCTAGTCGTATACTTATATTCTATTGTCTGTTTGGAACCAAGTTTTTTGCCTAGTTTTTTTTTCTACAAGATTTTTAACAACTTTAATTACGATAATTTCAAACTCCCCAAATTTTTTAAAATGCATAGCTCAAATGCCCAAACACAAACAAAATTTTTTTTCTTGTCTTTTTTCTTCTTCCTCCCCACAACTCAATCTACCACCACCTCCACCAACGGCTGCCACCGGCCGCCACTCCACCGGTGCGGGCATCGGGGCTGGTGACTCTTTTTTTTTCCCCTTTCTTTCTTTTCTCCCTCTTTCCTCCTCCTCCTTTCCTCTTCCTCCTCTCCTTCCCCTTTCCTCTCCCCCCTCCCCTGAAACCTTGTATAAAAACATAAGGAGATTATGTAGATAAATGTAAAAATTACAAGCAGTAACGTGAATATTTATACAAATCATAAGGGTGTTACATAAATATTAAAATTTTATCACACGCTCTCTTAAAATACATTTGGTATAAATGCCATAATTGGCCGTGCATTCCGTTTTTTTCTACCTTAAAATTTATATAAAAGCATAGGAGTTATATGAACATTTTAAAACTCTAAAAAGTTCATTTGACATTATGTAAAACCGCATGCGGGTAACAAGTAATTTGTCCTCTACATATAGGGCTTGTTTGGAAGTCCAAGTTTTTACCAAGTTTTTATTATACTAGTTTTTTAACAACTTGTGCTACAGGAACCCCAAAAACTTATCAAAGTTTTTTAACCTACACACTTAAAATATCCAAAACAAAAAAAAAAAAAACTCCCTTCCCCTTTTCTTCTTCTTCCTCCCCCACCACTACCTCTGTCAATTGCTTCGTCACTGGCCACCACCTCCGCCGCCGGTTCCGGCGCCGATCACCTTTTCCGGTGCCGATTTTTTTTTTCCTTTTTCCCTCTTCCCCTGCAAGTTTTTTTTTCTCTCTGCGTCTCCCCCCCTCCTCCCCCACCACCCTTCCCCTTCCCCTTCCCCTCTGGCCGACCTGGTCGCGAGACCAGATCGCACCAAGGGAGGGTGAGGGTGGCGGGGAAAGGGGAGGACAGAGGGAAATGGGGGATTTGCCCAAAAAAAAAAATTGACGGGTGGCGGGATTCGGGGGTGGTAAACGGGAAGGGGCCAAGAGGTGACGGGGAGGGGGAAGGTGCGCGAGGGTGGCGGGCAGTGAGGGTGGCGGGTAGAGGGAAGGTGGGCCTGTTTGGAAGTTGCGGGGGAAGGGGTGGCGGAGGAAAGGCAGAGGGAGGGCAAAGGGAAGCGGGATGAGGGGTGGTGGGGGAGGGGGTGGCAGAGGGGAGAAGCAAAACAGGGAGGGGGGTGGCGGGGGAATAGGGGATGGTGGAAAGCAGGGGGAAGCGGGGTGAGGGGATGGCGGGGGAGGGGGAAGGCGGGCAGAGGGGGGTGGCGGGGCAGAGGGGGAGAAGCAAAGCAGGGGGTGGCGGGAGGTGGCACTGCTGGAGGCAGAGGTAACGGGGAAGGGGAAGAAGAAGAAGAAGAAAGAAAAGAGAAAGGAAAGAAAGAAAAAGAAAGAGAAAGAAAAAAAAAAAAAGAAAAGAAAAAAAAGTTTTTAACCCTACAAAAACTTCTACAAAATTTTTTCCCTTACAAAAAACTTCTACAAAATTTTTTGAAAAACTTCTACAGTGCACTACAGTAAAGTTTTAGACAAACTCCCAAAAAACTAAGGTTCCAAACAGGCCCATAGTAAGAGACAGGCCTTTTAATATATGTAACTAGGTCCAAGCCTTCTACATAGATTGGCTTAGTTTGATATGGGTACAAAAAATTAAGCCCAAGTTAAAATGGGCCGTACTTGGATAATGCTGAATATGTTCAGTCTCGTATTTTCCCGACAAGACAGTTCAGCCATGTTATATACTACCACTTACTAGTTAAATTTAAAAAATAAAAAATAAAAAAAACTGGTCAATTGCAAGATCTTTGTTTGTTGTCAATCATTTCCTCCTCTTTCTTCTTCTTGTGAAGTTTAAAATTTCCATTGGAAAAAAAAAATTCACTTCTTATTAAAAAGTGGCTATGTTAATTAAGAAACTGTGATGCTAATTACGATAATTGTTGTATTAAGTGTCTGAAACTTGGTTTCTATTTACCATATTATATTTTGGAAATATATTTCTTTTACAGAATGACAAGTTGACAACTATAAGTAACTAAAAAAATCAAATGAATTAGCCAAAGTGATGTGGCAAAATTTCAAATTGAATCATCTTCAGTGCCTTCAAAAACATAGTCCCTTGACCACTAGACTGTATATATCCCATTCAATTACTGGTGATGTAATCATGTAATACCGTCCATTCTTCACAGAGCTTATACATCATAAGTTTGATAATTTTATGAAACTCATGGGTCAATACATGTCGATTTGTCAAGATACTAACTTGCCAAAACTAAATTGAAAATCAATACTCGAGATCGAAAATGAAGAAAGTATAAGTTGAAAACAATCAAAATGTTCATAAATATTGAAGGGCATATGAGCAAATTCACCCTATTCCTGTAAAGAAAGTCGCAAAAAAAAAAAAAAAATTCCTTCACCTTATCTCTATGGTTTAGTCTAACGTCCTCAATTCGAAGGCCAATTTGATATGTTTTAGATAAATTGTTTAAGCAAAATGTGATGCAAAACCTTTGACTTACGATAGGCGAAGTCATGGAAGATGCAATTATTGGGGTTATAAAACCAAGCAATTCCAACTTGCATTACGTCAGTGCTGTACAAATTATTTCCAATCAAACTATTGTATAAAAATCCAAGGAGTATGCGGTTGGGATTCTTAATAATAAATAGGTAAGTAGTACAAGTTCAAAATTAGGGTTAATCACCAAAATTCAAGGAGGTGGTTAGACCATGATCATGGGACAATTGATTTTAAAAAGTTCACTAGTCAACCCTTGAAATGAAACACTTCTTACGTTGCAATTGATTATTCTTCTTACTTATTACATAAGTAGAATTTTGTCCGTACCTTAGCACAGTCTTTTTTTTTTTTAATTTATTGTGAATTTATACAAATATGAATAATTTAAATACAAAAATTAACAACAATCCTACGTGTTGCGCGCATGGTCCTTGAGTTTATAGAATACATTTTCTTTGCAAATAATTTCTGCATTCTTTACGTAATGCTTATCAGAAATGATTCCGGATCACATTGTTTGGTTTTCTAAACTGTTCCTACGTCCCAATAGTTGAGGATCTAACTGCATTCAAGCATCTTCCATGACTTCATTTACGAAAAAAAGTCAAAGATTTCATAGCACAGTTTGCTTAAATTAAAAGATTTGTTTCAACATATTAAATTTACCTTCGTACTTGCTGCCTCAGTTAGACTTAACACTAGAAATAAATTAATATGTGAAGGTTTATTTCAATGATTTGCCATACAAGTAAGTACTCCTTCTTTCCGTTCTATTGTTAATGTATTTGTTTCTTCCATACTTGCATCATAATTCGCAGGTAACAGCCCATTTTGTAGAGTATATATGCTCCAGTGCTCGACATCAGCAGATCGAAAATGAGTGCGAAGTTCAATTCTGCTAACATTTGATGTGAGACCCCCACAGCAATCATTCCATTAAACCAAAGTGACTAGTTATTATAGCAAATGCTGGAAGGATGATTTTCCAAAGCAATCTTAGGTTAATGGAAAAGCGATGTTATCTATACAAACTTCCCTCTAAGCTTCGTCGGCTTACGGGTTTGAGCTTCCAATACAAACGTATGAAACTCTTTCATTTCAAATGGCCGTACATTGTATAGGAACTACACATTCTGATCCCATTTGACATGTTTTTTCTTACTACGAAGACACACGTTTCTTTGCCACAAGTCGCAGGACATTTTTCTTAAGCATAGCAAGACCAGGTAAAACATCAGTATCAATGTCCTCTTTCTTCACTCCAGAAGGCAATCCCCAATTGAATGAGTTCAAAAGATTAGCAAGTGCAAGCTCCACAGCTGCTATTCCCAGGGAGTATCCCGGGCAGCCTCTTCTGCCTGCCCCAAACGGGATCAATTGAAAGTGTTTCCCTGTTGCATCTATAGTACTATTCAAGAATCTCTCAGGCAAGAACTCATGTGGATTTTCCCAATACTCAGGATCTCTTCCAATTGCCCAAGCGTTCACGTAAACGGTAGTCTTGGGCTGGATCTGATAGGTTGCATTTTAGTGGGTATTTTGGGCATTATTGCATAATTAATTGACTAAATATTTTCGTTAATTGGGTGGATTCTACTGATATTTTGTTTTGGTGCTAATTGCAGGAATGGTTGCTGAAAAGCGCTTAAATTCAACTTTTAGAAGATTCATCGGAGTGGGGCCCGTTTGAGAAGCGGAAAAAACCTAATTGTAATAGATTTTATTTTAATATATATTTCTAGGGAGTCTTGCTGCAATTTTGAGAAGTAACAATTTGTAATTTATCTCTGGCGCGGCTTAGGTTAGAGAGGAGTCTTCGTTTTTGGTTTTTGAATGAGAGGAGAGAGCCGCAGCCTGGAGGGGAAAAAGGCAACGGACAGAAGCCATCATTGTTGACTTGTGAGAAACGAATTCTTCATGTTTGGACTTGACAACTTGAGAAATCAAGCAATTGAGAAACTTTCACTACTAATCTCCTGCCACAAAACATTAAACCATCAATTGACACTAATACATAACTAAAACTTCAAAAATGCATGAAAACTGCCACAAATATTCTTGGGTTGCCTCCCAAGTAGCGCCTTTCTTTAATGTCTTTGGCTAGACATGGCCAAAACCCTCAAGCATGAGAAAGTGGATCGTGGAGGTGTTCAACCTCTACTTCTTCAACATAGAAACCCTCATAATAAGGTTTGAGACGATG